TAAAGCCGATAATTAAAATGAGGTCGATAGGTTTAATTTATCGTGCGATTAATTGATTTATCGTTTATCGCGACAGGCCTAGATATGAACAGGTAATGTTAGAAAGTTACGCAGCATTTGTGTTCAAAGATGCACAATAAAACATAGCCTCTGGGGTTTGTGTACCGTTAACTGCTTTTTAGGTTTGGATGGAACAGACTGCTGAAGCCATCTGAACTCTGCTTTGCTTTCCTTTTGGTACAAATGTGAATTAAAGAAGAAAGTTTTCAAAATTAAAGGTTTGTAAGAGCTGCAACTTTTCATACAGTTGCGTGCAACTAAATAAGTTGCAAAGAATGATTTGTTTGACGAAATTAGTTTTATTTCAAAAAAGTAATGGCTTGTGTGTCCACATCCTAAAAAAGTCTAAAATTAAGGCCTTAAAATGTAAGCTGTTCTAAATACATTATCCACGTCTTAAATTTTGTTGCGGCCGGAGTGTTCCTGTGTATTCCATGTAGTTTAATTTTCTTGTGGGACATTTCTGTCAGGCAAAAGTCTGTCTGAATGCAAATGTGCGTTCAGACGTCTGCATAACGTTCTCTGACTCAAGAAGGTTGAGACTATCACTAGAGAGCTGCTAATAAACCCTTACTAGCTAGCTTGCTTGCGCATGTCATTGTAAATGTAAATTATTTCAAGATGGCTGAAAGACGTTTGTCTTTGCCAATGGCTCACTTCTGTTACCAACCTGTACGACGCAACGTTTCTGTTGTGTTACAAGTCTTAAAAAGACTTAAATTTGATTTGGTGATACTTGCAGGTATGAAAATACTGGTTACTCACTGGTTCTGGCTGGTATGATATGGTTTTTAAACTATAACCCTCTGGGAATAATGGTAGTGGCTTTAACTCTGTTACAATTTCCATAATGAAGAGTGTTGTCACAGTCTGGTAGTGCTCACAATATGTTTATGAATAGAAAGACGATGTATTTTTGAGTTTCCAGCCGTCTGATCACCAACCATATCCATCTGAAAATCAGCTGGTTGATACAGACAGTTTCTCTCTTAATAAAAGTTCAGTCAGTACCGAGCTTTACTGCTGTGGTCAAAATTGATTTGTACATTTTTCCACTTTGATACGTTTCTTGGGCTGACATTGCATCGCTTTTTAAAAACTTTTTTTTTTCCTGTCAGAAATTGGTGTTGACTAATAATCAGCTGACTACGTTACCAAGAGGCATCGGTCACCTCACCAACCTGACTCACCTTGGTTTGGGAGAGAACCTGCTGCAACACCTTCCTGAGGAGATTGGTCAGTGTCTAACATCACTGCGAACATGTTGTAAATCTTAAAACATTGTGAAACTATTAGCCACAAGTTCAATTTTATAATGTTAGGATAATAAGGCCAAAGTGTGATCCAGAATTTTCCGGGAAGAATGTTTTAGAGTTAAGTATCCAATATGTTATTAAACAGAAAAGCCCGCGCATCCTTAAAGCGTCTTAATTTAAATATGTTAATCACAAGTCTTAAATTTTGTCGTGGCAGGACTATTTTATCTCATATGTTCTATGTTTCTTATTTTTATGGCGGGATTTTTCTGTGGAACAAAGTTTGAGTCACATACACATCTTCATTACATTGTGACTCGAGGCAATTAATAATACCACTAACTAGCTACTACTACCTTGCTAGCTAGCTAGCTTTTTTGTATCCATCATTGGTAAATATAAATGATCTCAGGTTGGCTGGACGACCTGAGCATTACTACGTAACATAGGAGATTTTCTTTCGTACATTTCTGTTGAGATACAACTCTTAAATACCATTCATAATGGTCTTAAATTTGAGTTACTGAAACCTGTAGAAACTGTATTGCTAAATAATTCAGGGTGACTGCACACCCTTTAAAAGTCTTAAATTCATTAATCTAAAATTAAGGCCTTAATTGTCTTTAATGTAATTGAAAAACAATAAGTTGACCTCGACTACAGTAATACAGTCTTAAATTTTGTTGTGGCAGGACTATTTATTTTCATATTTTGTATGAAGTATGAGTATATTGTATGAGTTGCACATTCTGTCACTAAAGATGACAATTGTGGCTACCGCTAACTTGCTGCTAATATGCTCTTGCCAGGTAGCTTTTTTTTTTTTTTACATCTATGCGTCTCCAGTTGGCCTGGACTTTGTCTTTGTCATTGGCTCGCTTCAGTTGCCAACCCATGCGACTTATTTATTTGCAATTTTTTTTTTGTACATTTCTGTCGTGACACAGGTTTTATTCGTAATGGTCTTAGTTAGAGTCTGACGTTTGAGTTGATGAAACCTGCAGAAATCCCATAATCACTGCCCTTCCTTTGCTCCCAGGCACACTGGAGAATCTGGAGGAACTGTACCTCAACGACAACCCCCACCTGCACAGCCTCCCATTTGAGCTGGCCCTCTGCAGCAAGCTGTCCATCATGAGCATCGAGAACTGTCCCCTCACCCACCTGCCGGCCCAGATCGTTGCGGGAGGCCCTTCTTTCATCATTCAGTTCCTAAAGATGCAGGGACCATACCGTGCCATGGTCTGAGCCAAGAGCAGCTCCAAAACCCTTCGGCTTTTCTCTGCACCCTTTCCCCTGCCTGCCCTCCCATTATGTGTATCATACACTGTAAAGAAAAACAAACTCGCTACAATCAGTGTTGGGGGCGAGGGAGGGGAGTGAGGGGCGCACATTAACAACGGGGGGAGGGACGCGCTCAAGCATCGCATTTTGTTCTCAGTCCTCTGGCAGAAATGGAAGCGAAACTTTTGGAGACTTTTGTGTTCCTCCGGTGTCGGTCCCGGTCAGTTACGACCCCCACCTGTTCCCCTCAGCCACCAAAAACCCACTCAACTTTTCATTCCGAATCATGAAGCGAGAAAATGCCCCCCTCTCCTCAACATGTTTTGCCAAAACTGAAGGTATATAAAGTTTAATATATCGAGTGACTGTGAGCTCTGAGGCAAGTCCTTCAGCTTTTTAAACTGTAATCCCCATTGCCAATGTATTTACAGTAATTACAGCATCTAATATGTGAGCAAGGATACAATTGTATGCAAAAACACAAAAAGCAAGTCTTTGGAACTTCTCATTTACTGCTGCTGCTGCTGTGATTTTAAACTCTGTCATCTTACACTTTTGCTTTTTTTTTTTTTTTTACATAATCTTTCCTGGTCATAACTTATGTTAACTGTTTCTTGACCCAAAAGAACAAAGGTCTAATGTTTTTTTTTCTGTTTGTTTTAAAAACTGTGCCTATGTTTAGAGTGATCCGGTGGTTCATTTCTAAACACGATTCTCCATGACATACAAAGACATAAATTATTTCAATAGTGTTTTTATTACTACTGTTTTTATTATTTTTTTCTTTCTTTATGGGTTATTGTTTTTTTTTTTAAGTGTACCTGTTGCATCATTCTGTCATGCAAACGATATCAGTTGTAAAATATGAAGATCGTTTTTAACAAATAGCAGCAGTAGGTGTTCAGGATTGAGCTAGTCTTTGTAAACATATGATAAATGCCAATTCTACATGTCTGCAGAGAGGGTGGGGCCATGGGGGGCATCTTGGGACTTTTCGTTGCCCCCCCACCCCAATGAGGAGCTTGGGAGGCGGCTCCTGCTAGGTATTGGGAGGGAGGATGGGGTTGAGGGGTCATGAAATATAAATAGGTGTTGGGGATAAATAATAGATGTTTTATACATTTATACAATTTCTGGTTGTTGCCTTGGGTGAAATTTTTAGTTTATGTTTACTTGTTTGATATCTCCAGTGTTGAACTTAATGGCCGTCATCCAGTTGATCATCGACCAACATATCAAGCGTTATTACAAACACATTTTCTGAGTTTCTGGAGCAACTTGGCGAGTGTCTGAGCTTCACAACGATTTGATAATAAAACATTGACAGGTAATTCCTCCGTGACACTTTATTTTTTTTCTCTCTCTAAAACTTTTCTCTTTTTTGTTTAACAGGGTGTCATAATCTTAAACACGCAACTGAAAGTACTCCCTTGACTTGTATCCATTTCTGATTATTTAAAGATATATCATTTGTGCCACACTGTCCCAGCAATGCTGCTGCTTTCATGCACTTTTTTTTTTAAATTTTTTTTTAAGATATTGGCATCCTTTGTATTGAAGCGGGCACACAAAAAGACCCTCTCTCTAACCTTGAGGGCATTCTCTTCGTTTTTTTCTCCTTCTTTTTTTAACGGTTTATCATGTAAATTTGTATCAATTGAATATAAATGTTGAGTTTGGCAGTTTCAGAATTTACAAGTAACTTTGGTGAAATTTAATCCTGTCGATTTTATTAAAGAAGCTTTCTTTTGTCTTGGGCTGTAAAAATATTTTTAAAAACTTCCATATCCTGCTTTCTTCATTGCTTGAAAAATGGCTTCTTGCAGTTAAAAGGAGCGTTGTGTTAATTTTTAAATAAATTTTGATTGTTTTTTTCTAAACGAATAAATGTATATTAAGTTAGGTTTTTTTTCTTCTCCCAAGTGACTGTACATTAAAAAAAAATCCCTACAAAAGGTCATTATTTGGATACGTTTTTCCTCCCCGGTTCATCGAGTCGTAATTCGGTTTTTCGTGTTGGAAGATTCGGGTCCACTTTCCTCGAACTCATCGACAGGGGTTGCGTCAAATCTGTGGAAAGGAAAAACAACGAGACGCTGCTTCTAATTTACCAGCAGAACCTGTTGCTGCTCTTCATTGACTCAAACATACAGGGATCAGGCTGGCGGAGGAGACGGGACAAAACTTCCGATACCGAGAAACCGGCCGCTTTGAATTGTATGTGTTTTTGTTTTGTTTTGTTTTGTTTTTTCTACATCGGGCCTCGGTGGGTTAAACAGATCAAATTGTTCGGACATGAAGCAACACAACAAAAAGGTGCATATTTGAGCTCAAACGCAGTTCTAGTACAAGACTGTCGGGAAAACAAAAAAAAAAGACAGAACAGTTGTAAAAAGGGCTTTCTGTGTTCATGCTCAGCAACACCAGAGGCATCGCATTCCTGGGTTTTATATAAAAGCTTTGGGAGTTTCTTCTCTCTTTGTATGTATTTTACTTTTCGCGGTGTGTGGGGCGGGGGAGATGCCTTCAAGTACTCAACAGTGAGATGTGCATTAGGTATGCAGCGTGACTGCTGTGACCCGTTTTTACATTCTCTTTATCTTTTCAGCTTTCTTTTTTTTAATTATTTTTCCGTGCCATGTCGCAACACGTCGGCGTACGAAGACCCCGGACGGCTGTAGGGGAGTCGGATTGATCGAGTTTTTTTTGTCCGACAGTAGAATGTAGTTCACCGGTCCGTCCAAAATGAGTTGAGTGTGTTTTTTCCTTTTCCTACAGAATCAGTCACTTTGCTCATTCTGCTTTGCTTTTGGTTCCTGCACCGTGCAACTTCGCGATTCCTCGCCTGGTTCCTTTGTACAGGCAACAAAGCATGTGGGAACACACCTGACATGGTCCGTCCGGGTTACAATCAGCCCTTGTTGCTTAGAGAACTTCAGTGGCTATTTGGTGTTACCTGCAAATGCTCCCTTTTTGTATATCGCAAAGGGTCTCGAAGCATTGTGTGCCAATGCTTTTCCTACTTAATCTACATTGACGAGCAGCCTTAATGGTCTTTTTTTATGTGTTTGGCTAATTCTCGTGTCTATGGCCACTGACTGTACTTGATGACAAGCAACTGGTCGTTACAATGTAAATTTGATTCTAGTTTTCCTCTGTCTTATTTGTTTTTGTTTTGTTTTGTTTTGTTTTTCTTTTACTCTGTACAGTAATCTGTAGACTCGGTATTACAAAATCTGTTATGTGAAGAGTTTTATAAGAAGACAAAGACTGCATTGGAAGATAATGCCAATATGCTCCGAGGTGGATGTGCATTAAGCTTATGTTTCACGCGTCTGTGGCATTAAAGGGGAATTCCACCAAAACTGACTTGCATCGTTGTTTTGTGAGAGGCTATTTTTGTCAACAGATTTTTTTATTTATTTTTTTTTTATGGGGCGTCACTATAATGCTTTTCACTATAAAGCCAATACAGTTGCAGTGATTAAAGTTACATCTAAAAAGAATGTAGTGTTATTTTAGAAAGTGGGAAAAAATAAATAAATAAATAAACAGACTGCAGATTGGACAGATGTCCAGACAACAGTCACTTACATCTACAAAAAGGCTTCGCAAAAGAAGCTGGTTGTTCAAAGTGCTGTATCCAAACATATTTGAAGAAGGTTGAGTCAAAGGGAAAAGCGTGATAGGAAAAGGCACACCAGCAGTAGGAAGAACCACAACACTGAGACGATTGTCAAGCAAAATCGATTCAAATAGCTCCAAAAGATTACACCGAGTCTGGAGTCAGTGCATCAAGAACCACCATGCACTGACAATCCGACATTTGAACTACAAGTGAATTAATTGAGCTAAGAAAACAAAACAAAAAAAGAACTGCACTGTTGCTAAATGATTCAAAATTTTCTTTTTTTGATGGAAATGAAGTTTGAGTTTCTATTGGAAATCAAGGTCCCAGAGTCTGGAGGGAGTGTTGTCAAGAGGACACAGCTCTAAAGCAGTCTGGGTTTCCATTACACCTCAGCAGAACCGCGCTTCCATGCCGTGCCGTAGTGATGCAGCGATTCATGCAAAAAGAGCCCCAACGATGCATACCAAGAAATCAGCAATACATCCAAAGACGTGACATTTCTATGTAAAATATCTGTTAATATTGTAATGTTCTGAGATTATAAATTTCAGTTTTTCATTATTTGTAATGATAATTAAAATTACAATAAGTAAATGTTGGAAATATTTCAATCTTTGCGAAGATTGAAATGATAAAAACAGAACATGTTCACTGACAGCGACGAGTATCAGAAACATTCCAGGTGAACACCGCCCTCTGCTGGCCAATTAAAATTTCTCTGAAAGTTGACAGGGCGCAGTTCTTCCGACATAAATAGCAGCTCGTTTCCTTTCCATTCGATATTTGAATCACCAAGAAGCGTTTTCGAAACTCGTAAAAGAAAGCGCTGCCAGACAGAGAGATCATTTAAATATTTTCTTCTGATTTGTGGGCCGCTTGTTCTTATCAAAAAATGGGGGAAAACCCCCCCAAACTGTTCGACCTTCACTTCCTTCTCATGTAACGTTTCTTTATTTCCCCCGGTACTGAGCTGGGTAGCGTGCTGCCGCACTTCAGCGGCTCTGATTGGAGACGATAGGTGTCACTGTATCCTTGCGCTTTAGTGTGCGTCCCCACATGCATCAACCAGCGCCTCGACACACGAGTGTTTGTCCACAAACAGCCCGTCACACAGCGGCTTCTGAACACAGAGAACTGAGAAACATCCTGGGATACATCAGCCTGAATTCATCTCTCTCTCTCTCCTCTGTGTTTAATGTTGTGGGCGACCTGAGCGTTCAGCGCTCCAGCTAAAAGCCTCCCTATCACATTTGTGAAATACTTTCTGGTTTATGGCAGCAGCAGCGGTTCATCAGAGAGGCGGCTGAATTGCTAATAACCCCATTAAAGCTGTGTTTTCAGCCGGAGCGCCTTCATGTCAATTATCGCTGCTTGCAGTGAGCGGGGTGAGCAGGGGTCGGCGCGTAACACCTCTCCGTTTCCGTGGGAACAGGTGTGTGTGTGACGTCACGTCGCGCCCCCCCTCCCCCCCCAAAAAAGTTGCCGTGACCGTAAACTTGAAGCAGATATCTTAATAACAGTTAGTTATGACCGAAGATGACAGTATTAATTCATAAATGTTGACTACATTTAGCATGAGTTAGATGCTAATTATTAGAGACTAAATTAAATATTAGATGATTTAGCAACTGGACTTCACTACAGCCTACTGCTTTTGGTAAGCAATGTTGCAGATTTCAATGAAAAAATCTTATTTTTAATTTAATCAAAGTTTTTTTTAATTAAATTGAAATGAGATCAGCACATCTCAAATTATAATAAAACAATGATGAAAGAAGTGTCAATTATTTTTTTTACAATTTAATAAAAATGACATGTTGAATATTACTTCTACATTCAAACAGAATTTTTTTATCACAGCAATTACACCCTTCTATTGGTAACCAGTTGTTTTTTTTAAAAGATTTTTTTGCATGTTTCCACTGATATTTTTACGTTTCATAAAAGTGAAGTTTTTGAATCCTCTTTATTACCTTCCTCCACCGATACTCTACCGGATTCATATTTTGCCATTCTTTTAGTTTCTGTAAAAGTACAAAACAACAATAGTTGCTCGGTCAGCTTCATTAGAATGGCTGACAGATTAAAAACTTACACAACAGAAACCTTCAACCTAAAAAAAGTAAATATACAGTGAACAAAAAAAAAGGTCAGCCAGAGATAGTAGTCAGCTAAAAATGTTAGCATAAACAACCTCTTTAACTCTTACTGTAATTAAAATGGTAATATGTTTGGTCTATATGAGTAGAAAAAAACACAAGTGATGGCAAGAACTGCATTCTATTAAAAGGACGTTTTGCTGTTTTGTTAATAAAATGCCCTTTTGCTGTCA